AATCGATGCGAACGTACGGGATCAGGTCGCGTATGACCTCCGGGCATTCTAGCAGCTGTTCTAAACTTCCTCATTGGAAGTCACGAAAAAGCGGTGGGTTTTTTCGAGAAGTTGTTGATCATGTAATTACCAAAGAGTCTTTCGTCTTTTTATAAGTGTTATTGAAGCGTTTGGCCTAGTAGATTGTATATCAGTATACCCTTCCAGGCTCTGAAGAAGGCGATACTGCCGAAACGTCAGCTAGCGTTGTATTGTATTGTGTTTTTTATGGAAGTAAATATATGCTGTTTAAAAACCTCGCGATTGCTGAACAAGAAAACGACATATTCATATTCCAATGCCGAGGTTAAGAGAAAGTCGATCCTGGGAACTAAACCAAGATTTCAATCACATTGAACACAGCTTTGCACACTCACCGCTTTCTATGACGTTTCCACTAAGTATGTCACGTAGAAACCAACCGCACAGAAATCACATGGATGCATAATGTGCCCCTCCAATCAGAAAAGCAGTCTTATATACTGCCCTATATCACACGTGATAATGAGGCATTCTTCTCTGCGGTTCATTTTCGGATTTCTGGAATTAATCCAGAATGCCTCGAGAGTTTTTCGCGCCTGTGTTCTTGATTCGCGTGGGAGGATCGTGACACATTCTTCAATGTCCTCCCCGTTATGTCTCTGGGTCCTATGCGTGCCTAGCGGGGTATTTGTTCAATGTTTGCTGGCTAGGTGTTCTTTTATGCGGACACAGAGGGGTCTGCCCGTTTCGCCAATGTATTCGTCAGCGCACGTCTTACAGGAGATCAGATAAACTGTACCCGAGCTCATGCAATCACCGTCTCTACCACGGGGGCAAATTATGCAACTTTGAGTTGCACATAGACGGTCATATTGGCGATTACGAACTAGCTGGCGCTTAAGATTACTCGGTGGTATTTCAGCTACGTTTACCGAATTCTCTAAATCCGCCCTTCTTAAGCAGCGTTTTATAGCTGTACTTATATCATTTGAGATGAAGGGTAGGATAAACGGGACCCGCCTATCGCTAGAGTTGTCGTTTGGAGGCCTAGGATTTCCTCTACACCTATCCTGAGCTACAGTTTCGTAGCCATTAGAAATGATTATTTGCCGTGCCAAGTTCCGAGACTCCTCTCTCTGCTCTCTTTCCGTGCACACGTTGGTTGCTGTTCAAAATATGTTTCTTATAAGCGCCCTTTTCGTGTGTGAGGGGTGAGAGGAGAGGTAATGAACCAAGATGTTTTTACTACTTGGCTTTCGGTACCACTTTGTAATGTAGCCATTTTCTGATAGGTGAATTTGTACGTTCAAAAATGGAAGCCATTTTTCTTTCGGCTTTTCTCGGGTGAACTTGATATACTCTGACTGTGCGTTTAACAATTCGAAGCATTTGTCCATTTCCTCTTGTGTTGAGCAAAGGACAAAGCAGTCGTCTACATACCTACAGTAGAGTAGCGGCCCGAGATCAGTCACCGGTGCTTCCACCTTAGACATAAATGCAATGGCAAGGCTTGGAGCCAGTCGTTGTCCCATTGCCAACCCTCTTATTTGAGCGTAGTACTTTCCAGACCATCTGAAGATTGAGCAGCTCAAGCATTCTTTTAAGAGTGCTATCAGGTGCTCTATCTTGAAGCCATACATGTTTATTTCTCCTTCGTGTTGTGTAAGGAGTTGGAATATGGCTTGCATTGCGGAGTCATTCGACACGTTTGTATAAAGGGCGGTAACGTCGAAGGACTCCATCACGCACGCGCTGTTGGGCTGCGCAGTACGTAGACGATCCAGAAACATCTGGGTATTCGTAAGATGGGCTGGAATGTGTTTCAACAACTAATTTAATATTAGGGTTAAAAACCATGTTATCCTGTCCGTTGGCCCGTCTACGCAGCTAATGATGTGTCTAACCTTAAATAGTGATGGATCGGTAGACGCAAGATCATCGCTGGATACTAACTTATGAGTTTTTATAAGTACATGACGGGGCATGTTGGTAAGTCAACTCGAGATAGTTGTTCAAGTTGAGAGATAACTGATGGTTTTAAGCCAGCAGCCGTTGCCATTTTGGCCCATTCGTGGTTCAATTTTCGGTATTTACTTTTGAATTCCTTCTCAGATGATGGGTGATAATGCGAAGTATCTTCAAGATGCTTTTTCGTTATATCCACATCTAACTGATGAGGAATTACGACAAAGTCTCCACCGTTTTCACTAACGGTTAGTCTTATGGTTTTCAACCTTATCAACTCTCGTACCTCTCGCATACCACGTTTTTGCACTTCAGTGAGGTTCGAGCTGTATCTTTTCGCGCGATAGTGATCGAGGGCTTTGGGAGTTTTATTCGTAAACACCTGAAATTTAACATCAACTTTATTACTAGGCTCTTGTTTTCTAAAGAACGGCTGAGGTAATGTTGCTATCGGTACGGCCCCCACTTGGTGTTGTTCACACCTACTTGGCGCTTCATCTCCAGCTTTTTTGCGGAGTTTATCTTGAAGTCCATGTAAACCACATGCGACCCTACGCAAGGTTATCTTAGAAATGGGTTCATATGGTGAGAAACTCGGCCCTAATTCTTTTTAGGAGGTGTTCCTGTGTGTCGGACTGTTTATAGCTACGTGTTTTTCTATCACTTTCTTCGAATGGGACGATTAAGAAATTTGCAAGACCTCTTCTTTTGTAATTTTATGGTATTTTTTTCTAAAGGATTCCTTACAGAGTTATGGCGGTATTATGGATAAGCTGATGCAGGCGTTCCATATTTGGTCACGACTTGGCATGTCAATACAAGTACTGTATTGGTTTTTTCTGTTGTCGTTGTTGTTTCCAAAGAGACTTGCGTTAGTTAATAGTTATCGAGGCAGCGAAGAGTTGTCCAGAATTTACAATTTTATGTTCATGTGACAACATCCTCTGCCAACGGTTTACCGCCTCATCGTGGTTGGGAGGTGTTCCTGTGTGTCGGACTGCGATGTACAGTAGGAGGATTGATCCCCCAACAAAGTTTCCCAAACTGAGAAGGTGTCCGCCATTTTCGGCAGGAAGCTCAGATAAGAGTAAATCAATGCTAGTACCAGGATCCGCCACCGTCTTGGTGTCAAACTGGTCTCATGGTGGCAAATCTCCCTCTGACCCACAAGATCGGCGACTGCCTATGATGGTGACGGCCTAGGGCAGACTTTGGTTAAGCTGACCTCGGGACACCACAGAATCAGAATAGCTAAATTCAATCCAACAAGGCTCCGAAAAAGTGGAAATTATACTGGGCTCCGCATGGCCAGTGAAAACGGGCCATTCGAGTATCAAGTGACAACATGCTTCATGAAAAGGATTTGCTCGTAGTGTGTTTTTCTTTCTGTGATGAAAACCACCTATCTAGTTTTTTTTAAGAAGCATTTGAGCTAGGCGTTATGCTCTTTGATTCGAATTGCAAAATGAGTAGGGCACTCCACTATGAAATTTGCGACACATTGTCTACCGAAATCTTATTCTTTTTGAGCCTATCTGATATGATCTCATCCCAACCTTTTTTAGGTCATTAAATTACTGATAGCTTCGCTACAAGAATGATAAAACGCTGACATCGTTGTCGATTGTGCTGCGAAAGTTATTTAGAGGCGAAATCAACAATTGTGGTTTCTGTAATGGTTACTTACTTGAACTTTTGAATGGCCTGTCTTCACTGGTTGTGCGGACCACAGTATAATTGCAATTTGTTAGTTTAGCCACTGTGGTTCCTTGGAATCCTTGGGTTAGCCTTACCGAAACCTTCCTCAGGTCGTCACCAGCCCAGGCAGTCGTCGCTATTGTGGATCAGAGTGGGATTCGCTACCATCCGACGAATAATTTGGTATTGGAACAGTGGTGAATTCTGGTATTGGTTTACTCCTAGCTGTGCTTCCTAACTGAAACCTCACTCTTTCTCAGCTTGGGAGGTCCGCCGTTGTACGTTGTAACCAAACACTCAAGAACACCCAGCCACGTTGAGGCGTTAAACCATTGGCAACCTTTTTATTAAACAAATGTGTAAATGTTAGTTGCCAAGTGGCTAACGCTGATTCGCTGTATTTCGCTGAAGCGTCTCTATTTGGAGCTCTCTTTTGTTAATTTATAATTGAAAAGCAGAAAAATTTTGGATTATTCCCCCAATATCTGAACTTGTGATTTAAAATCTTAGGGTGTAAGGACTTGTGGCGACTACATGTTCAGTGGACATACAACTGCAATCACTTTGTTGAATCATTTCATAACAGAATGTGAGTTTTAGTATTTTTTTTGTTGACTCGATCACATCGTTTATTTGTGAATAGTTGTATGTGAAACCTTATGTTTAACTCCTTTACGTATATATATATATATATATATATATATAGTCCTTATATATATATATATATATACGTAAAGGACGATGTGTATATATATATATAATATACGATGTCGTGTGTGGCGCAGTGGTCGGAGGCGCTCTGTAAAACATAAGTGGAATCGTTCCCCGCGCCCATAGCCCACCAAGCTTTCCATCTCTCCGGAGTCGGCAGATTGTCTAGGAGGATAGCAACACTGGCTCGATACATCGGTAGGCCACCGCGAGTCATTCATTGTAAAGGCTTGGTATGCAGTCAGTCTCCTCTGAACAGTACTCAATGAAGTCGAATGCATGACGCATCCCTTGGGGAGTGATTAACACCGAAAGCTTCATTCTTTTATACATATAAGTATATATATATATATATGCATGCTTGTGAAGGCACATTGATTCATTTCTGGGAAACTTTTCAAGTTTTTTTATTTACTTATACGCTACTGTTTCCCATTTATTAAATTATATCGAATCATGGTCCTCAGTGTACGTAAATTGTGCTGACAATGACGAGAGATTCCTTGAAGTGTTGTTGTGCAAATAAATTTCGTGGTGGATCTAGTGAATGGAAATCGAAGTACGTCGTCCGCCTTTAAGAATATGCGCTCAATTTCTAGTGTTCTCCAATTCGGGTATTTGCAATGTAGTTCAGTACAGCGGGAATGCACAATCAGCAAAGTGATTTCGAAGTCGTCGAATTCATCATTTAGTCTGCGTAGCGCAATGGTAGGGGACTCCTTGCAACACATATGTGATCGATCTCCGCGCCCCAGGCTCACCAGACCTTCTATCACTCCGGGGTCGTCAACAAATTGGCACCAGACTTGTCTACGAGGATACCAACATTGGCTCGATAGATCGGTAGTGCACGATAAGTGATTGTAAAGAGTAGACATGCATTCAGTCACCTCTAACGATGCATAATGAAGTCGAATGCATGGCGCGTTCCTCAGGGATTGAGTAACGCCGAGAGCTTTATCCTTTTTTTCAACGTGCACCACTGAATCGTAAAGACTTGACTTTATTTAATGAACTGCACTACTTAATTCATCTTCGTTTTTATGATTTCTTATTTTTTCCAACATAAATAGTTCACCTTGGTTTTTCTTTTTCAGATACTCCACCTTCGTGGACATTTCTTCACACCGCTACATGGGTAATGAACCTTTTCGGAGTTTTTTTTATCCTCGCCGGTCATGAACACTACTCAATAGATGTTTTTATAGGTATGTTTAAATCATTTCGACCACATTCACTTTTGCATTGATTCTTTAATATGATTTCGATATTATATCGATTTTTGTGTGATCAAGAATCCATTAAGGAGTAGTTTGTAGTGCTGTACCATGTTTCATTGGTCATTTCAGCCCAGGTTAAATAAAAGTCGGTTTACAATAATAGTGATGTGTTTCAAAAGAAGTTCTCTATGGCAACCTCTCGCAATCTTTTTTATAAGTTAAGATAATGTTACGTTAACCTTGCTGGTAATGTTTTCAAACATACTCTTTTCACGAAACAATCACTTTAGTAGTCGTATAAATCTTTGTAGTTGAAAAGTCACGAAGAATGATTGTACAAGTGAAGAACGAAACAGATTGATTCATTGCCTATTGTTTTTGGTTAAGTGTAGGGCAAATTATTCCGCTTGAAACATTAACTTCTTGACGGTTGAGCCCACCTTCTTGTCATTTTCTAGTTCTGGCTGCAGTCTTCTTAAGGACAAAAGTCTTTACTTTTTTAGCGTTTTATATTTCTTCTCGAATGTTTCTTTACTATCATGCATATGCGTACAACCATGCGAACTTGACTGCTACCGATGATCGAATCCGTCTTTGGTTTCCTCTTGGTTGGTTCTTCGAAGCGGGCAGTATCGGAAAGGTGATCTATAGAGATTCGCTCAGCATATTCTACTGTGTGTAATGTATTATATGATTGATTTAGGTTCAAAATGAGTTTGAAATGCCTTTACATGTTATCATTCCACGATGGTGGAGTAGTCATCGATATCATGACGAGAAAGAGAAAAAGGAGGAGAGCAAGCACGAGAGTAACGGAAAGTGTTCAAGGAGAATGAAAAAGAAAAACCACTAGCCTCCGGGTGAGCAGAGGTGATTGTTGTGCACCAGAGAATCCAGACACTCCAGGGTTATCGTCTAGAATTTGTTACTTCCTGTTATTAATTAGACTGATTTCTTAATATTTAGTAGAAAGGAGCCAATCTCATTGAAGCGATGAAGTACTTGTAGCCTATTAAGCTGTGATAATGATGATTTTCGGAGTTGTTTATAGTAGTGTTCATCCAATAAGTTCACGTTTGTCATGTTTTCTTTGTACTTCTTCAATTACATTTATCTCGTAAACGCTAATAGCTACTAGGATTTAGGAGGTTCGAGAGTATCTTTCGCGCAAGAATATGATAGAATATCCTTTGTTGTATTGTTTTTTCCTATCCATTCTCGACATTGTTTTTATTTGCGACATTACATAGTTTTTTTACTGTATTATTCATTAATATATGCTCTATAGCTTGTTAAATTTCGTTGTTCATGTTATATTGGAAGCATAGTCGAGGTACTGTCATGTTGTAACCAAAGATGCTTTACATCTGTGATAATCCATGTCTGGTATTGTGTTGTAAGTCGCAGCTCGTCTTGTAACATTAGTTTTATCACCTTTATAGATTCAAATTGATAAGAAAACGCCAAAAGTTCTCGTCTTTGCCAATGAACGAGGTAAATCAAGACTGAAAATCCCATACCTCGGAGAACAAGATGTTTGTTTAAATCTGATACGAAGAACTAAAATTTTTACTGTTTGTTATATTTTTAAGCATGTGTGCGTGTGGCGCAGTGGTCGGAGGTGCTTTGACACACACACGCACATGGGATCGATCCCCACTTCCGTGACTCAGCAAGCTGTCGATCCCTCTGCGATCGGCAAATTGTGCTACCAGACTTGTCCAGGAGGCTAGCAACATTGGCTCGATACATCGGTAGGCACCACGTGGCATTGTAAAGGCTTGATATGCAATCAATCACCTCCAAACGATACTTAGTGACGTCGAATGCATGTTGCATCCCTCAGGGACGGATCAACACCGAGAGCTTCATCCTTTATATTTGAGAAGAAATGGGAATGAACGAATAGTAATGAAGTTCAGTGCTTGTGGAAACCAACATTCTACCCTAGTTATGTGTTTTTTTCATTATTTTAACAGTTATTATTTCTGTTGAATAAAAGCATAATGATGCTGAGATATTTGCAAAACTTCGGACCGCAGGTGTCTGCGGTGGGGATCGAAGACGCTATTGCCCTTTCCGGGGCTAGCGCGTTCACCAGCATACCATGAAGGTCCTTCGTTTCGTCTGTCTCTCAGCTAGTTTTCTATCTGCCGATGTTTTCTATCACCAATCACCCGTCAACGGAATTGATCTAGAGAGCGCAAGTTGGCATGGAACCTAGTTAAGCTGAAGCTGTAGTTGAAATCACAATATTAACGTTTTATTTGCTGCCTACTATAAAAAAGGGTAAAGCTCTCGGCGTTGATCAATCTCTAAGGGACGCGCCGTGCATTCAACTTTAGTAAGTGTTATTGGAGATGACTGAATATATATCTGGCCTTTACAATGACTCGAGATGGCCTAGCAGTGTATCGAACCAGTGCTGCTATACTTCCAGGCAAGTTGTTACCAATTTGCTGACCCCGTAGGGATGGAAGGCTTTGTGGGCCATGGACGCCGGACTCGATTCCACGTGTGAGTTGCAGGGCGCCTGCTACCACTGCGCAACACTGTGCTGTCTACTACAGATAACAAACTAGTTGAGGGATAGGCGAAATGAGGGACCCACATGGAGTGGTGGTGCACGCGTTAGTCCTCGGAAAGGGTAATAGTGTGTTCGTTTCCCACCGCTGGCACTTGCGGTCCGGAGTTTTGCAAATCTCTCAGCATCGTTATGGTTTACACGTAATTTCACATAATACCCTGCCGTGAAAATTGCAGTAGTCAGTAGATAAAAAGTTACCATCGTTATTATTTCTTTTCTTGCTCATTGGAAGAAGATTCTAAAAAACTGCTTCTTGGAACTATTCAAAGAGCAGTTAGAGTATCGGTTTTATGGGTTGCTTCGTGAACTTTTATACCGACAGGTATAAATTAACCGTATTAACAGATCCTGCCGTTAATTGTCAAGTTTTTCCGGCGCACTCCAGCAAAACCTCCACTCAACCACATAGTATGCTAGAGTTGCCATCATATTTTTTAACTGAGGTTCTTGTGAAAACGTCTAACCATGTGGTCAGTGGTTTTCATGTTATGCGCTTCACTGGGACGCCATCGCTAATAGCTTATGTGGAGCGGTTGTCGACACTCATCATGATCCACCTTATTTTCGACATTTTTTCGTACGCAGCAACACCCGTGGTGCTTGACCGATGACTTTGGTTGGAAAATCGAGTTTTTCATCTCAAACGCATTGTACAAGACAGTGTTATAATCACCCTATCAGTTTAGTCTTTCCAGATGCAGTGACTGTCAGTGCGAAAGCAGAATCAGTAGATGTCTTGGATCTCTTTTTCAGTCTTCCCAGATACAGTGGCTGTTTCATGTTGAGAGCAGGTGGGCAGTAATTTCGCTGCTGTTGAAATCTATGCAGTACTACCAGTAATGGTCATGTGTACCGCATTGGTTAGCGTCGCGCTGTAACACTTATGGGATCTATTCCTCGCCCCAGGCTCACCAAGTCTTTCATCCCTCTTGTGTTGGCAAATTGCTACCAGACCTGTCTGGGAGGATAGCAGCACTGCCGCGATGCATCGATTGGCCGCCCTGAGTCGTTATATAGGCCGGATATGCATTCAATCACCTCTAACCATGCTTAGTGATGTCGAAAGCATGACGCATCTCTCAGGGATTTATCGACGCCGGGGACTTTATACTTTATCCTTTTACTTATCTTTTTAAGTTATTCTACTATTCCTTCTCTCCTTTGTTGTGGAAGTTCAGACGTCTCGACTTTCTTATCACTACCATGAAGTTACTGGAGGATTCGATTATCTTTTCCACTGAGTTTGCCGATGACGTTGTTTTCAAAACCCAAGCAAAGAAATGAAATTTTCTACGGACCGTATATTGGTGGCGGTATTGACACTTCATTGCTTCGTATTTTCGGTCTGCCCTCTTTTTTGGGCTGGAAAATGAATGTGGATTTTTCTCGAAATTTGGTGACATCAGCATCCGTTTCATCACTCCCTTTGTTTTTTCCTAATTTCTTTGCTGCCCCTACCATTCTTCGTCATTCGTTTTCTTTTTTTCTTTAATCGTAATCGGCCAATTAACTTTTCTGTTGGCGTCCCAATTTTTATCTTAATCGCACTATTCCAATTTATTCAATGCTTCTCACTTAGTTTTCCGTTCGTATGGTAATTGACGGTTTTCTGTGTTCTGTCTTTCATCACATAGTAGTCCCGGATTTTATAAGGGGAGTGAGAACTATTGGATGTTACAGATAAAGCACAATAAATTTCGAAGTTTTGCCTATACGAAATCCCTTACTTTTGTTTCTTTTTTTTTGGCGGAAAATTAGCAATGGGTGAATCTTCGTGCTTTTCCATGGTTGAGTACTTGGAATATTTGTTGGGCATTCCCAGTGCGGACGACATGGAACGATTTCTACACATTTCATTTTTACTTGCAATACAGCCTTTTGATGAACTCCACTTAAGATTACAATTTATCTGCACTTAGAAGTACTTGCCCAGAAGTGAATGGAGAAAATTACGTGTATACAAGAGGTACAAATTGTTCCAACACAGAAAGGACAGGAGATTAATTTCTTGAACCCCGCTCCCATTTCCGGGCGAAAGCATGATGGATTTTGACGCTCGTTTAACCTCTTATCTACCACATGGTAAGTCGCTTCATATTCTGGTGACCAACCTCTAACTCGAGATTGTTCACTTGAAAAAGACATCCTAAGACACAGGTACATACTGACCAAATTGAATTCTTGATCGTCTCGAGGTCTGAAATGTTTTATTGGCTTATTTCATGGAAAAATGCTACTCTAGAGTGTACAGAAATCGTTTGACCAATTTTTTTTCGTCTGGTCGTTCTTGTTTCTATTTCCTTTTTTCTTTTTGGTGCATTTAAATTCTTATCTTTCTCGTTATACGACAATGATTATCGTGCATTCGTTCTTCTTCGTGGTTTTTCCCCCCTTTTCGTTTAAATAGGTTTTTATTACTCTGTGATCTAATAGGGATCTTCTTCGTAAATATGTGGTCTTGTGACTTTCTTCAGATTGAGAGATATAAAACGAGATAGACTGTGATTGTCAATCCATCCATCAAATATTGTGCCTGTAACTGATAACAATTTCTCAAAAGATTGTACTGCCTAGCGCAGTAGCTGTAGAATGCAGATGCGGTTATGTCGTATAAATCGATAATCCAAAGGTTTTGTATCGAATCTCCGGATTTCGTCGGCGACAACGCGAGCGTCGAAACTCGTTAGCGGGTTAGAAATGTCAGCATGTGTTGCAAATCGCATGGTTTGCGCTTGATAAGAGAGAATGATGCCACTTTGAAAAGTGCATGCCCGGAGAACCTCGCATTTTACACGACGACTGATAAAGGGAAGCCTCCCAGATGTTTGGATGGACTCTGCCAGCTTTGTGAATACAAAAAAAAAAATTGTTTATTTACTTCTACACTCCTAACCAACATTTTTCATGGCGCTCTAGTATTCCGCTAAGTATCAATTTGATTGCCTTAGACCATCCACGAGGAAAACAATATGCGCGAAAAGCTATATTTCATTTACGTTTTGCCTTTAGTTCATATGTGAGCATGCAGAAGATGATTACTCAATTTTAAAATCGAATAGAGAGCGGACGAGATAATTCCTCTCGCTTCGTGTCGTTAGCTGTAGCCGTTTGTGTTGCTGTTTCTCTGCTGACAACTGTTTGAATCATCGGCCATGTGAATTTTTTCATAGTCCCAGTTCCGCTTCATATTTAACATTTCTCAAAGATAGTAGATATTGCAATCGTGAATAGACGGTTCGAACAGTATTAGTAACTGCCAGTTTGTTTGTCTCATCTTAACATCAATTCATCGAATGTCGTTGATTTTACATCATCTCCTCGTCAGGATTGACTTTACCGTTTTTTTATTCCTGAGACTGGGTGGAATTCTTCAGTTCGAAAGTTTTTCATTGGTGTACAACCTTTTTATCAGTCTGTGGATAGTTTATGTGAATATTTTTTCAAACTGGTAGAGTAAAATGTAGATATGTAAGTTTTTCATCGTTCGGAACTAGTTTGGTCAAAAAGTTACTGTATCCTTGTCCCAGTCGCAGTCTCATCATGTCGATCTTCGTCGGATTTTGGGAAACCGATTTTTTGTGTCTTAACTCGTTCTCTGTTCTTATCCATCTTATGCACACCGCACATTAACCAGAATCATTGTGCACATTAATAGTACAGTGATATTTCAAAAAACCGACTTTCCTTTAACCTAGGTATGATTAGTCAGCATCTATTCTTTCACTGATAAGCTAACGCGTTGTTGTTAAAAAGAGTTTCATTCGGCTGACGTTTCGATGCCTTCGTCTTCCTCAGATCCTGATTGATCCGAGTCAATTGTCCATGGTTCTTTCTTCTTCTGATGTAGATCTTCCTGATTGGGTCGAATCCGATGAAGCACCGGCCAAATGAGAAATCTTACTTTGCACTTTGCAGCTCTTCGATTGTTGTTGGAACTGATTGCCCGTTGATAATTCATGTTCTCTGGACTATCTATCCTGCAGTGGTTGATATCGTTATTAACTAGCACATAGCATAACAATATTTCAAAAACCGACTTTTTCTTTAGCATTTATTTTTAAGTCTTAGTATTCTAATCATGCACATACACCGAGGTTAAAGGAAAGTGGTTTTTTGAAACATAGTCGCGCTATGTGCAAGCTGATAATGATACCGACTGCTGCAGGATGGGTTCTTGGGAGAAAACAAGTTATTGTCAACGGACAGTCACTATCAACAACAACCATCCCATATAAAGAAGCTCTGGCGAGGAGGTTCCTCATTCAAGCGGTGATCCACTGGATTCGGCTCGATCCGTTCACGATGACCCGCATCGGAAGAAGGAATAACTGTGGAATATCGCTTCAGATAAATCTAGTTCTGAGGAACACGAAGGTGCTAATACGTTAACCGAATAAAGTTTTTCTTTCTTTTGTAATCAACATCGTCTTCGTGTTAGCTCATTAATGAAAGACTGCAGTTATAGTTTATGCGAATATTTTGAGACAATCTTATTTCGTTTTCTTGTATTTGCGCAAAATCTCCTATGGTAGATGAGCTTCTTGCAACTTACGCATAGTACCGATCAACACCGGTGATTTAGAATGTGGCATTTATCGATGAAAGCCTTATCCAACAAAATTTCCCTTCGTAAATGCCTACGTTATCGACTTATGCTAGACTATACATTGTCGTTATTGCTTCACCATAGGCGATGGCACATCATTTGATCAATCGTTGTTACTAGAAAGTTGTGTGCACATCAGATGTAAACAACTATTGTGTCGTATTGCGAACCACAACATCTTTTCTCCCTTTTATTCCTTATCTATCATATTTTTATAAGTATATTGTTACACCTACCCATGTGACACCAAACTGGATATGTGACTAACAACCTACATTCTATGCGTTTTACAGTGCACTTCGACGATATTCAAATCTTGGAGCGCCACTCAAAAGTCAACTAAGTGGTAAGATGATCTGCTGAAAGTCGCACTTCACAGCTGATGCTTACCTCATCAAATTCTGCTTTATTCCTCGACTTCTGTACAGAGTAGTAACACTTCATTAGCCAGAGTGGAAAACTCATTCATGAGGAAAAAAGTGATTATTCCGATGACGTTCACCAGAATTAAAATCGCTGCTGATCAAATCACACCGCCCTTTTCTTAGCACTTTCATTATTTCTGTTTCATCCCTTTCTGTTCATCTTTTTTTCTCTGTTCGTATATTTCTCTTATTATTTATTTATAAAATGGACTGCTTTGAGGCCAAAAGAACATTCTCTTCTTCTCACTTCCATTATCAGCAAATCGTTATTTCTCTTTCGTAAGAGTTTCTTTCAAAGTGTCTTGCATGGTATTTATTTAACAAAAGGAAATGGTCGAAATTCCAGATCGTTATGGTTGAAAACTTGGCTGAGCCTAAATGTGTGCTTATAACAGGTGGTTGTGGATTTATTGGATCAAATTTTATAAATTTCATATCTGATCGCTGGAAATCAACCAGGTGATACGCACTACTAATTCTAATGTCTAATATGAGACTAAATGACATAGCTATTGGAACTTATTTGTTCAGAAGCTATGCTTTTGTCTAAGTGAATTTTTCAGTTTTTCACTGTTATATTTTCGGTAGTGTGTTTTAACAGAAGAATAATTCTAAGCAGTGCGTCGACTACACAGGGGGCGTGTAATGCAGTGGGTAGAGATTCTCTGCGATACGCATGGTTCTAGGTCTGACCCTACGCCCCAGGATAACCAGGCCCTCTGTCCTTCCATGGTCCTCAAATTGGTAATAACCTTGTCTGAGTGGAAAGAAAAATCATTAGTTTCACACATCGATATACCACACAAGTGGTTATATGAGCCTAATATGCAGTCTAATGCCTCTACGAGTGGAGTTGAATGCACAGCGCATCCTTAAAAGATTTATAAACGCCGAACTATTTTATATTTCACACTTTTGCCATATATACTAAACGTTAAGTGATTGTAATCTGAATTAAATCATGAAGCCTACATTTTTGTTGATAATATTGATGAAGATGGTAAATAAAAGTAAAAGATAAAGCTCTCGGCGTCAGTCAATCCCTGAGGGATGCGCCATGCGTTCGACTTCATTAAGCATCGTTTGGAGGTGATTGAATGCATATATGGCCTTTACAACGACTCGCGGTGGCCTACTGATGTATCGAGTCAGTGCTGCTATACTCCCAGATGTGTCTAGTATCAATTTGTCGTTCCCGAAGGGATGGATGGTTTGGTGAACCGTGATGCGGTGATCGACTCCACATGTGTGTTGCAGGGTGCGTCCGACCACTGCGCCACACGCGCCCTTTATGTAGATGGTAAGGGTGGAAATATTGCAGACCTAATAAGTAGTTTTTACACATAATTGTTTGTTTTAGAATTGTTAACTATGATAAATTAGCGTTTGGTGCTTCACCTAACCATGTGGAGAAACGAATTCGAGATTCCGACAGGTGCTGCTTGACGTAAAATTTTTCTCCCACAATCACTTTATGAATTTATTTTTTTGAAAGTATTGTTTTTTTTGTTGTTACCGTTTTTTATCATATAATTACCATACTTTCTAACGGTTTACCACCTCATCGTGGCTGAGAGATGTTTCTGGGTGTCGGACTGCGATGTACAGTGGGGATTCATCCTTCTGGCTTGGTTTCCCTAGCTGAGAAGGAGTCTGGCGTTTCTATCAGGAAGCCCAGCTAGGAGTAAACCAATACTAGGATCCACCACCGTCCGGGTGTCAAACTAGTCGCTTGGTGGCAAGTCTCCCTGTGTTCTATAAAGGCAGCAACTACCTGTGGTGGTGACGACCTGGGGCAGACTATAGCCAGGCTGACCTCGAGACTCCGGAGAAACAATGGCTAAACCAGCAAAACTTCAAAAAATGAAGAATATACTGGGTTCCGCACAAGCAGTGAGAACGGGCGGTCCAAGTATCCAAGTAATTATGATTACCATAGGTGACTATTTGTTCCATTATCCAATTCTTTTTGACTTCAACTCAGAAGATCCAGTACCATCCCTTAAATATCGTTTTACTCTCACTTCTTTTGTGTTTTTTTCTTCTTATTTTTCCAGTGAATGAAATATCAACAAAAGCGATGGTGCGACTATGAACGTTTCAATGATGTACTGTTTTTAGTCTTTACTATAACATTTTTTCTACAGCTTTTTGCGCAAACTTTTACAATATGATCATCGTTAGCCAACCACATCAACAACTTTTCCATTTATCTCCAAATACTTATTGATAAGTCTTTGTTGGAAAATTTTTTTTTCGCATTTCAGGTACATGTTCTTCGAGGCTCGTCTTGAAGATCAAGATATCCTTACTATGTGCCTTAACGACCATCATGTGCGTTCTTAATTGTCATTTGATTATTTTTTCACTATTTATCTTTGTCTCAGTTGACCCTGTCATTGCTTATTTATATTACTATTTTTACCACTATTACTACTGGGTTGTGATTTGATCCTGCACCGGGGCTATCCATTCCTCCATCCTTTCGAGGTAGACATATTGGTACTTCTGTAAGGATGTAAACCAGAGTATGCAAAACACTCACTTGGTATTTATTTACCTCTACGGTGCAACAAATGGGGTCGAATACATAGCTGATCGGACTGATGAACTTCGGACAATTTCTTCTTTTTTTCCTATTGGTTTTAAAGATTTTTTCAAATGTATACTAGGAATGATGCACGGAAAAACGTCAGAGTTTTTCAGCATTTTGTTCCTTTTACTTTCAAATTTCTTTTTGCCCACTTTTTTCTTCCAAATGAATATGGGCAGTAACTAGGTTCGTTTTGCTTTCGATTTGTTTTTTATCTTGTCTCAACATTTATGAGTTTTATAGAATTGCTTCCTCCCAACGCTTTACCGCCTCATCGTGGTTGGGAGGTGTTCCTGGGTGTTGGATTGCGATGTACAATGGGGATTCATCTCCCTAGCAGAGTCTGTCAAGATGATAAGGAGTCCGGCGCTTTCATCAGGAAGCCTAGTTAGGAGTAAACCAATACAAGGATCCATCGCCGTCCTGGTATCAAAGTCGCATGGTGGCAAATCTCCCTCTGTTCAATAAAGGCAGCAACTACCCTGTGTTTGTAACGACCTGGGACAAACTTTGGTCAGGCTGACTTTAGGACTCCAAAGAACCACTATAGCTAGACCAGCAAAACTCCGAAAAAACGGAAATTATGCTGGAGCCCGCACAACCAGTGAAAACGGGCCGTCCAAGTAGATATAGAAATGCTTTAGAGACTAGAATTCCAATTTAACAATTTGCTAGCTCCATTCTTACATAATGTCAATATATGGAGTATTTTTCTTCACTACATTTGCAAATTACTCCATCTTATGCACTTCATCCCATTCCCTCCATTATCCCATCTTTATATTCCTTTTATTGAACAATTTTTGCAGAAGAAATAACTTTGTAGTTCTATATTTTTGTAATTATTGACATAATGTAACTCTCTTTTTATCCACATGTGCTCAGTAAATCAGCGGCTGATACTGTGACGGTTGAAGCGACGAACTTATCCATCCGATATTTAGTAGATTTGTCCCATAACTGACCATTTGTCTCCTTTTGGTGAAATAACGATACAAAGGACGTATTACACGCTCAGTACGATGCCCTGAATTACTGGTTCTTGTCAAAAAAAAAAGCACCGCACAAGAAAACCGTAATGCGTTGATAATTGCGACTAAATATATTTGAAAGTCGCTTATTATTTGTCTCAGGCTCTGTTACACACTATGATTCCTAAGCGCTTTCCAGTCACTTAATTGCGTACTTTTGGCTAAAAGCATAGCAGGGCAGATAGCCTATCGCTTGAATCAGTTCTTTTTTTTAATATGAAGCCGTCATCGCTTTTGGTCCGTGTAAAACCCCCTGTGCACCCATATACCTATGGAAGCCCCACTTGTTCTCATTACTTGTGCCTGCGCAGCATCATGCGAAGAAGGGTTGTGGCACCGTTCTATGGATATTTTAGAAGAGTTTAGAATCCTTATTTTTTGTTGTTTCAGTTTGGTAATATTTGGCATTTCTTACTTTCTCCTTCCCAGTTTCTATCCAACTCCTTATATTTTTCACTTTTTTTTGGAATTCTCTTATCCACTGCTTTCAGGTGGACATGGTGATTCATTTTGCTGCCGTTACTCACGTTGACGAATCATATACAGATCGTATTGGAACGATTCGTGATAATATTATTTCGACAACTTCCCTGCTTGAGTGTGTCGTAAATCGAAATTATAAGGGAGTGAGAAGACTTGTGCATATTAGCACTGGCAAGTTTTACTCTTACTTAGTCGCTATACGGTGGAAGATAAATTGGCCTTTGTAGACGAGGTATACGGTGACTCATTCGGCGATATAACACCTAAGACTGAGAACTCTTTGCTGAATCCGACAAATCCATATGCTGCCAGTAAAGCTGCTTGTGAAATGATTATTCGCTCATACGGGGTGAGTGCTTCACTAAATTTGTTTCTTTTCTCCGTTTTATTTACATCACTCGGCACCACAGATTATGCCGATTCCTGCTATTCTTCCATTCAATTCATGTTTTCGTAACTGTAATCCACGATGATCTTTGGATTTTTGTGTGTGAGCTCGGCTTCCACTTGAGGATTTTGGCTTCCTCATGAGTACCGTTCAATACTTTTCGAGTAGATTCTTTCTGAAATCCTGGGATAGCTGTGCCGCGACGTTGCCATGTTTTCCTCACAAAATATGGCCAGCATTTATACATCGGAGTTCACCTTTTTACGGATGAATTTGCTAGCAATTTTCTGATCTCGGAGTGATCAGAAGCTTAGTTGGTCCGGTGAGAGCCCGAATCAACAACCATGCGCGTTTCGTTGCACGATATCGCTAAGCACTGTGGCTTACGCCCTTCAAATCTGTTGAATTAGATTCTACTGTTACATTATTCCCTAATCTTGGTTTTTTTTCTAGTTTTACGATGGACGTTAAAAAGTGTTAAGTGTAAAAGTGACAACATGGTAGTTGCAGGCTTCAAATTTCAGCATTCATACAGACTTCCTTACGTGATTGTTCGTATGAATAACGTGTACGGACCACGTCAAGCTTGTACGAAGTTGATTCCAAAATTCACAAAATTGGCACTTGAAGGCAAACCCTATCCGCTTATGGGAGACGGATTGCATAAGAGGTGATGTCTATTCCAAAGAATAGATCTTGTTGAGCTATAAATTGTTCAAACTAAGTGCTTAGCTCTTTTAGAAGTTGGATGTATGTAGAAGACTGTTCGGAGGCGATAAAAAGAGTTGCTGAAAGTGGTCAACTCGGTGAAGTGTACAATATCGGCACCGACTTCGAAATTACTAATGTCGACTTGACACGGAAAATTCATAGCATCGTCAATAAATTAAAAAAACGGTAAGTTCGTTAACCATAATTGTTTTTTTTCGTAGAGGTTTTTTTTTTGTAACTGTCATGCCGGTGTTGCCCTACCATTTGAGAATAACAAATTGGTTTAAGCACATGAAACAAATGTTCTCGTCCATTACATCCAGTCAGTCTCGTTTCATTTTCCTTCTGAATGTTTATATCAAGTACCTCTCTTCTTTCATTTGTACTTTATTGAAGCTGATTAATTTATCTTGATAGAGCAGTGACCTGCATGCTACACATGGCTTAAACAAAATTACTTTTTAATTCCATAGTCATCTATACCTCCTGTAATGTCGTTATTCATAGAGTAGCTCAAGCAACCATCAGTAAACTCTATCTGTCTGCATCGCACACTTAAGCTGCCTAGTTGGCTCCGCTCTTTCGAAGAATATGGAGTGGACAAGATTTTTTTTATCAGAGCTTTTCTACTGCGTTTAACGGTGCACTGCTACCTACGAGTAACTCTCTGAGGCCTGCCTTACTATAGGTTAACATTTGGCTGTGTTTTCTGATGTGAGTGAGTAACTCCTGCTAAATTTGGGTGTTGAGAATGGGTGAACGAGTCCACACTGGATATAGCAGTTCGGAACTTTGGAACACCTCAGAACCAAGATGATTAAAGAACTGGAGATAAAGATAAACTTTTCTAATAATATAAACAATGGAGAAGTACGGAAAAAAATTTAAAAGAGTTCAAATAGTATTTGTGTGTTTATAATCAGAAACTTACCAACGCTTTACCACTTCATCGTGGCTGGGAGGTGTTTCTGGGTGTCGGAATACGATGTACAGCGGGGGATTCATCTTTCAGCAGGGTTTTCCATGGTGAAATGGAAGTTCGGCGTTTCCGCAAGAAAGCCCAGTTAAGAGTAAACCAATGCTAATACCAAGATCCACCACCGTCCTGGTATCAAACTAGTCGCATGGTGGTAAATCTCTCTCGAATCCACAAGGACGGCGACTGCCTGTGGTGGTGACGACCTAGGGCAGATTTAGGACAGGCTGATGACCTCAGGACTGAAAGGGAACACAATGACTAGACCAGCAAAGCTCTGAAAAATAGAGAATATGCTGGGGCCCGCACAACTGGTGAGGACGGGCCGTTCAAGTGTGCAAGTATCCAGGTATGTTGTCAGAAAAACACAAAATCATAAGGAAAAGAATAGATAACAGAGGATTGATGTTCAGTATGAGAGAATTTCTTTCTTATTTTAAGACCTCGACGATTTTTCAGCTTAATTAATTTATAATATAATCTACTTCTACGGATATTGTCTATTACACTGTTTAAAATTGTTCTTTTGAGTTTGTCAATTTTTGCCGTAATTAGTTTTCCTTTTCTTGTAAAGAATGTGAAGATCGTGACATCTTTTTTATTGTCCTCATTCACTTTGGTTTTAACCGGAAGCAATCAAACTTCACTAAATTTTATAAAGAACTGAACTTTTATATGTGTGATTTGTCTTCAGTATTCATCCGAATCTCAGTATAATTTCACAAATCCAGTTATTTGATTGCTGGAGAAGTTTTTTATCCTTTGAAATCCTATGATGGAGACGCGGGCATGATTTTGTGCGTAAAATTAGTTTACAATTTTTCGCATGACGTTTCATAAATCTATTACTTACTAACATTATTAAGAGGAGAATCATCTCCTTCATTCATCCCGATACCTGATCGACCGTACCACGATCGTCAATACTACATAGATTTCTCGAAAATCAAAAACGCGATGGATTGGCAGTGTACGACACCGTTCGATGACGGTTTATTGGCGACGATCAATTACTATGTGAAACAAAACAAGCAAGGAATAGTCACATCTCGTCTTCATGGATGAGCTGTGCATAAACTGATGATGATAATAGGCGTTTCAATCAAACATTCGTTTCGATTTTCGACCAATGTATCTGAATTTCGCATGTCACAGTTGATATTTTATTGTGAAGTAGGTAGTATTGACTGCAATCGTAATGTTTTCTACGATTTCTTTACTCGCGAACATACAAACACTTCCGCTTTGTGTTGTTCGCAGGCAGCGGTGACAGCGGCACCACTAGAATGCCTTAAATATAGCATTTGAATAACTCTGAATAGTTTTCTCTTGTAATTTTCTAGGTCCGTTTTTTCTCTTTTTTATTCTTGATTTACTTTGTACTCATCATCTGCCTGTTACATAGTCATAGTTTTGACATGGCGTTCAATTTTATTTCCTGAATTAAGCCGTTCTTCCGTAGGATCCTCGCTTTAGCCGTGCAACTGAACCAAGAGTGTGATGATCAGCAGTCAGATTTTCTTTTCTCGTCGTCGCTTCCTTTTCTAGGACGAACTTCATTCTGTGTTGTTACAAAATATTTAGCTTCTAATGAACACATCCTCTCTTTTGGTCTCTATTTTATTGGTGTATGTGAATATCTCCTAATTTTTCTTTCCGATTTTTGTCTTTAACTTCTAGCTGCCGTAAAATGTGTCTATTATTTTTTTCCTTCTTGTATTGCATTTGTAGAAATAAAGGGTTAGTGTACGAGGGGATTTAGGTTAGTGATTATTTAGTGTACTAATACACCCTCAACATGCATAATTCATCAGTTCACTCTCTTTCATTTTCCGTTCTCCTCCACAATTCATCGTCATTCATTTTCTTTCCTCTGCACTTCATCATTCGTCATCTTGTTATGTTTCCAACCTATAATGGTCCCATAGAAGATTTTTGTTTAGAATTTTTCACGAATGAAATTCACTTTTTAAAAAATAAACTAGGTCGAGTTCAAATCGGAACAAAAAATAATTTATTCGTTCCAGGTTTATATAATTATACTAAAATATCAGCAAAAAAACTGCGTACGCATTTCTTTTGTAACTTGGAACGGTGCACCATGTCCAGGCACGATCCAGTTTGCTTGGCAAATCATCGTTCGTCGTGATATAGCTTGTTCTGTTTCGTTAGCACTCAGCGGTTGCCACATCATTGGATAGTCAAGATCTTCACGTCTCATAAAAGTGTCACCTACAGAGCTATTGTTGAAGTTATGCAGTAGGCAAACACAATCTACAGTTACTCGGCTGATTTTGTATCACAGCTGTGATGTTGCGGAATGTGTAATGTGTTCTCATTAGTTTGCAGTTATCTCATCACTAGAGACCCATGTAGAGGCATTGGTTATGGGTGCTTTGTAATAATGCACACAGGATCGGTCGCTGATTTAATCCAATGCCCTGGGTTCACCAAGCTTTTCACACTTCCAAGGTCGGCTAATTGGTACCGAACTTGTCTGAGAGTATACTCAGGCTGATTTGGTTAAGTGGTAGGCACCCGTGGGTTACTGTAAAAGCCAAATGCACATTGAATCACGTTTAATATTTTTACTGAAGTCGGTTGCATGAGAGGTTCCCAAGGACGTCGATAAATGAACCTCGAAGAGCTTGTTTTTGAATATTATCTTTCATATGTGTGATAAATGAGTTACTTTCTAAGAAGCATACATCGCATTGAGCCTTTTAGCGCAGCCTTGACATCTCATACTATTTGTAGGTCCCTATTTTTGTTTAAAGCTCCGTACCAAAGCGAGCAGTATTGGCTCCCTTTTTTCCACAACTTTCTTTATTTTTCAAAAGGCCTCTTGTACTAGTGTAATTGGATCTCAAGGAACAACAAGGTGCTTGGCCATCTGTCAAATGTAGAAGGAGAAGATCTACAGCACTATAAATATTTGTGGTACCCTAACCCTATTTCCTCCAAGAAAAGTAATTCATTATGGTCTAGAAGCCTGCGCTAATAAATTCAGATTCTCTTAGCTTAAAAAACACAAAGTCTTTCATTTTTTTTTCGACAGTGTTACGTGTTCAAGAACTGACAAGTTTATGGCTTAATACAGGTCTCAGAGGACCATCATCGTCGACGACAGTTCTGCAACCACTTTCCAAATAGCATGATCTTAGTTGGAGCTATGAATTAAGTTTATAAAATTGTGTTACCTGATATTATTACTCTTCCCATGTTTTGTTCGTCAATAATAGCCACAGCGATATCATCTGATGAGTGTCCAGTTGATTTCATTAGGTAAACATTATCGGTGAGTGAATGTTGGTTACTCTAGAAAGGCGCTATCAGTTCTGATAACTTTGAAAACCGTTATGAAAAGTTTTTTTCGTCATACCAACCTCAAAAAGACTACTTAGGTTAAATATAGTGTGATGATGAATGTACCATCCCTGATAGTGTATCGCATCCGGAAAATCGTGTACACCGCCGGCGTGATCTGGATGACCATGTGTTGTCACAACGATGTCGATATTCGGAGGTGCGATATTTTGTTTCTGTAATGCTGAAACGAAATTTTATTTAAGTTAGATATTTCCAGCTAGTGCATGACCGACGAACCGTGTCTAACCTTGACGATTACCACTACACAAAAAGCATTCCGCACTAAGAAATTGCTACAATGCACGCATAATTTTTCCTTCTGCTAAGTGACCTACACGTGAACAACAAGGATTGAAGGCGTTGCACACCTTCTTTTTATTATTCGCAAGAAAAACTGTTGATATGGTCACATTAACTTACCCTTCAACAATTCCATTCTACCATTAATATCTGTTCCAAGTCCAGTATCAACTAATATGTTCTTTCCATTGTCTTCAACAAGAGTAATGGATGCAACAAAATTGTAATAACCATCGTTCGTTTGATTAGCCGAACCCTGAATTCTTATTTCAATTAGTTTCTAGAGCCCAGCGCTCTCAAACTCGGCAATTTATTACCGATAGAGCAAATACAAACACCAGCTGTCATTTTGTAGACTCTGAAATAAAAACAACTTACGAAAAGGAGTATTTTTAGCAGGAGTTTACTGTATAGTTAGGATTAAGACTACGATGATAAAGGGGGTGATATAAATTAAATCCGTAAAACTGCAAGCTTTTAGATGCATACAATTTCGCGCATGGCTTTCGTAATAATCTCCGAGCCTTTAGAAATCTATGTAAAGTAATAAACATAAAAGGGATATTTTACTTACATTCCTAAGAATAGTCAGTTTAGGTCTCGGTTTTTCAGTGGTCGTCATGTGCTTCATAGAATGGTTTTCTCTTGCTTTTTTTATTTGCATGAGAATGTTGCTAAGTTGACCACTGAGTTCTCGCATTCTTGATTCCCAGTCTTCATGTGGTTCATCTGTAATAATTTACTCTATTAAAATATCCGCATGCCTCAAATGGCTTTCGGGGTGGCAACTATGGGTGTCCAAATTCCGATGTGCACTTTATCTCCCAGAAGGCTTATTAGCTGTTTTTTAAAGCATAACTCTGGCAGAGGTGTGATTGGATTGTGGACGAATGGATTGTACTTCCTGGTCGAGTTACTCGATTACTAATCGACGGCTAACCGAACTACAGCTGCATAGATGACTGTCTTAACTAAAATCGAATTTTTTTGATAGCCATTACTACTTCTATTTCAACTGAGTCTAATACCTCTTCAAAGTAGATAAATGTATGAGAAAACGGTGACGAAGATCCAACTCTACCAGGTCTGTTGACTTCTTCGTCACATTTTCCATACGGCAGCACTTTTCCAGTGTGAATGAGCGTTCAACGACTAGTTCCTTCTCGCCCCAGCTAATCTGATGACGTCATAATGATCCCCCAGCTTCCATCACCAGGTTCCCAATTTATGCTTCTAGTACTAGCTTAAGCGTGCTTCAGTAAAGGTCGTTGTAAAGGTATTTTCAAATCTTTCCAGTACAAAATTACCGTGAAGTTATCATGTCTTACACGAGACGTGCTCAATGCTGGGATAGGGTATTTCTAGACAAATAAAACCAGCTTAATACTTTTTCCGTTTTAGCAAGATGAACAGATTTAGCTCATGTACTTCCCGATCATGTCGTTGTAGCTGTTCTGTCGAATGGAGGTGTAGGACATAATCCACACATATATAATAACATACTAACCAGGTCAAGATCCCACAAAGAGGTTCGTGCAGATAGCGAAATAGTTATATGAATTGTATCCTCAAGATATCAGGTGTTTTAGAAATGGAATATACTGATACTCAAAGGATAGGTAAACTTCCAATGTACTGCAATTTTTTTTGGATAGAGGAATAGGATAAAGCTGTCGGCGTTGATCAATCCTTGAGGCGAGCGCCATGCATTCGACTTCATTAAGCATGGTTTGGAGGTGATTATATGCATATTTGGTCTTTACAATGACTCGCAATAACCTACCGATGTATCAAGCTAGTGCTGCTATTCTTCCAGACAAGTCTGGTACCAATTTGCCTACCCCAGAAGAATGGAGGGCGTGGTGAGCCATAGGCGCGGGGGATCGATTCCACGTGTGTGTCACAGTGGCGTCTCCGACCACTGCGCCACACGCCCATTGTTTCTTTTCAAGTTTTCTTAAACAAGAAAATATAATAAAAAATTGCCTGTATTGAAACGATCATTTCCCTCATCGCTCCCGCGATCATCGCTAGGATCCATTGGTTCCCATTTATCCATAGCATACTGGAAATCGTTTGGTCAAGATCATCCCACTTGTCAGAAAGCTTGGTATTAATTTTTGAGAAATTCTTCCAATATTTCTAAAATTAGAGGACAACGTCCACCTACAGTTTTCAAGGAGGTTTCGTCAACATTTTCATCTCGAGTCACAATTCGCGACGGTGTTGACGGTAGCAATGAGTGAGGTGGGGGTGACGATGGTGATGTGGATGGCAGAGTTGATGCAATGGATATGTCCACTTTTTGAAGTAAGGGTTTTCGCCGATCGATAAATGCCTAAATTGAGTAGCGGTTAGTAAAAATATGTTTGAAAAATTATCTACAACCAGTTTGGTATTAGAACTGTAAGTGATACAATAGTCAGAATCATATAAAATTTCGACCAAACAGGTCTTTTCCTTTTTAACGTTGTGCGAGTTATATATGATTCATAACGTCCAAAATGCTGGCATTTTTGACCAAATCGTTTCTATCTAAGGGAAAACGGAGTTTTGATTCCAAAAAATGTAATAGGAAAAACTTGGTAAAGAGAACGAAACATCGGTCCGTCTCATTGTCCTCAATTACACTCACCTGTAACAGATTTGAAAGTTCTTTAAAGGTCTGCTGGGTTGGTTCATCTAATGAGGACTTATTTCTCTTCTGTAAAACAATGTCACTGCAACTAATATATGAATTCGTTTACTCATTTTAAACTATTATGTACCCGTGACGTCGTATTTGGCATTGCCACAGGCTTTCGTTTTATTTTTGATGCCGGCATAATTACTGAAGATACTCGTCGTTCTTCTTTCGAATTTCGCTAAACTATATGGTATGAATTTCGAACAAATCGTGTAAATTCTTAAGCTTTTACGGACAATCGATGTCCGTGGCGTATTGAATTTTTTGTTAGTTGACGATGATATCGACGTCATCCGTAATGCTTCACGCGGTAACGTCAACATCGGTCCAGCCCGAATGGATGACTCTGGCGGGTTCATCAGCTAAATCGATTTAGTAATAAAATTACAAAACAAGAAATAAGAACTAGGAAGAAAGTAGAATGGAAAAGACAGAGAAGAAAAATGATGTTCCGATTTACATCAAACTTTACTGGGTACTTTGTGTTATAAATGAAGGCTTTCGACTTTGAAATGTGAAGAATCTTCCAGACATTTTTCTTTTTACCCTATACATTTTTGAACTTCTCGGTTTTTTATGCATCCTCTTAAGAACCGGACTGCATCCAACACTTTTATGCCAAAGTTCATGTTCTTAACTCTTTTATTTACTGCCTTTTTCTTCTTAATGGCAGGTTATGTTTCGAATTATAACTCGTATGAAATGCTGTAAGGACAACAGCGCGTGTTCATTCTCCACTGCATACACCTGTGGTCCGGAGTTTTGCAAATATCTCAGCATTTCATAAAAGTTCATGTTTTTGAAAAATAGCGAAAAACAAACTTAAGCGAAATAATTCCCAAGACCGACTTTCTGTTAACCTCGGCATTAATTGATAATTCAATGTTTTTCATCAATAAGCAGACACGAGGTTGTTAATATAGAATTTATTAGAACACACAAACGTCAGCAATTGTGTTCTAATAAATTCTATATTAACAACCTCGTGTCTGCTTATTGATGAAAAACATTGAATTAAGCGAAATATTTTCTGTAGGAGTTGAGAAAATGAGTGTGAAAAGTACACAGGCGGTCCTCATTGTTAAAACGTTCGCAAATGCTTGGCACCAGAAGTTTCGTTTTCGTTTCACTGCGATGATGGCAACAGTAAAGGGGAGAGGCTCAGCAAAAAAAATTCCTATAGAAGAACAAGGTGTAAGTAAAGAAGAAAATAGCTTTAAAAGAGATCGCTTTAAACTTATCACACTTTTCTTTTTCGCAACAAAAACAATCCGTTTTTGAATGCATTGTAAGACGGAGCGCGTGCAGGGCAGAAGTCGCAGGTGCCTTACGAAGCACACTTGGTCATTGGTTCTCTGCCGCAGCCCCGATTCACGAGGCCTTCTATCCTTCCCAGGTTGGCAAATCTGTATCAAACATATCTGGACGGGCAGCATCACTGACTCGATACATCGCTAGGCCACCGCGAGTTATTGTATAGGCCAGATATGCGTTTAGTCATCTTTAGCGATGCTTGATGAAAACGAATGCGTAACGCATCTCTTGGAGATTGGTCAAAGCCGAGAGCTTTATACTTTTATTGTAAAACGTAATTAAAACTGGGCGCTGTACGACACCTAGCAACGTTCTGCGCAAAGGTGAAAAAAGACGAAACACTTCCACAAGGATGATGGACCGCAACACTTCGAGAAGCCAAATCTTGACTAGATGGTTATTAGAACGTTGGATAGTAGTACTCGACACATGCAATTTGCCACTATAGCTTTTTGAATTCAGGCAAAACCATCGGAAAAATACTATCTCGAGTTCGACAAAATGAACCAAGTGCTGCAATCTTTGCGAACATTGATCAAGAAGCTGAACGAAATGAATACGAATCTCTATCATGTTCTCATATTTCACTTACCAACGAGTTTCTATTTCTTCAAACTTCCTTGGGGAGAAAACATTCGCCGGCCAAAAGGAATTTGAAGAGACCTCCATCTACGCTACTGAGTCTAACAACTCCTATTTTATCGTCTTGATTTATTGATAGGCTAGAACGAGGTCACTGCAATTTTTATGAGCTATATGGCAATTTTGTGGTCAACGTCCTGGCGCCAGCGATATCTTTAGGAACGAGTTTATTCAAGTAGATTCAGAAGATTTGTTTCTTTTCTGTTCTACCTTACAAGCCTTTATAAGCCTCTATCTAGGTTTTTAGTGCACCGACAAAAGCGTGTTAACTATAATGCTTCCGGTTTTTCAAAACTGATTTCTTTTAAAAAAGTAGCACTTCAGATCTTAAGTCCAGCACCGAACATTTCATACCGATCATTCAGTACATTTCTAAGAATTTGTACTACAATATATCCATCGTGTAAAAAAAATAACGTGGGTATTTGCTTATTACTTTGAAGAGGTGACGGAAAAGTTGACCTAACCATTTTCTCTTAAACAGCAAATGGTCGTGAACGAATGATAAAAAATTGTTCTCGAACCGCAACGAAATTGTTCTCTTCAGCATCTTCGAGATCTGTAGATTGCTCATTAAAGAGTTCGACTGGAATCCTGGAAACGCTGCCATGGCCCTTGCCACGAACGAAGTCACGAAGTAACGCTCGCTCCCAGTCATCCAGTGAACGAACGATTTCTTCTGTAAGAACTGTAGGCGGAGACAACTCAACACGTCACTCGACACATATACTTTGTTAACATATGTTATTTGTCACCTCTCATAATAATCTGCCGATTGAAATTCACAAGTGGAGTGGTACACTGACTGACGCCTGAGTTATGGGGTTTATCGATATGAGACAAAAAAAAAGTAAACTCACGGTATTTTTCGTAATTTGTGAATGAAGCTGTGAACAAAGTTAACAGAATGAACGGCATCAACATGATATCATATCAGTTCTATAATCGTTGATCAGTGTTAAGCTTTGAAAGCGAGTCAAAGCGAAGAAACGTTGAAATGTCTCATAAATCGTGCACTGAATCGTAAATCTTGCATACTGCTCTTAGCAAATGTCTTGTTCACCACGGAAATTTTAAGTTGTGAAATAATGAATAATCCTCTTCCATCCTAATATACTTAGCTATTATTCATGAGTACGGTTAAAATGTCTCAATACCTCTTCGTTTATAGATGATTTGATACCAAAATCATTGATTGGTTTCCAACAATTAGTAATAACATTTTAGTATTCAGTGCTTGTATCCTCCTAACGGCTTACCTCATCGCCATTGGAAGGTGCTCCTGGGTGTCGGGGTGTGATGTACAGCGAAGGGATTCATCCCCCTAGCAGGGTCTCCCAAGCTGAGAATGAGTCCGCCGTTTACATCAGGAAGCCTAGCTAAGAGTAAACCAATACCAGGATCCACCACCGTCTTGGTATCAAAGTCGCATGGTGGCAAATCTCTCTCTGATCCACAAGGGCTGCGACTGCCTGTGATGGTGAAGACCTGGGGCAGGCTTTGCTCTGGCTGACCTCGGGATTCCAAGGAACCACAATGGCTTTACCAGCAAATCTCCAAAAAATGGAGGTTATGCTGGGGCCAGCACAACCAGTGAGGACGTGCCGTTCAAGTATTAAGTACCAAGTAAGTATTCAGAGCACTCGATTCAAACTATAAGAAAGACGCCAAGAGTTAATAATGCAGCATTTCTAAAGTATTTCTAACAATGATCTTTTGAACTCACTAGTGATTGTTAGATACGAACGTATTGAAATAAAAAGTAAGAAACCATATACAAGTCGATATTTGTGGTTTTAATGTAAAATCTGCAATAGAAACAAAGTACAGAGAAAAAGCAGTTGATTACTACAAGCGAAGTTAATGAAGTAAAAGTGAAATGACTTCAGTTGAGTGAAGCTTGATAGGCGAAGTAGACGATACGGTTTATAATTTGCATATCACAATGAGTTCTGCGGTTGAAGACGAACGCATAGAAATGAATTTCGCCACTTAATAACTTCACTGACCTAGTTTTCATGACGTAATTGGAGACGCGTAACTCGAAATTCGTTTGCCTTTTGTTCCGGTACAACCAAGAAGGGCACACGGATATTGTGGTGAAGTCGAGTGCCGAGAATTTCTCAAATATTCAACCATCACAAACGTCAACAGGAACGGTTAACGGTAGGTGGACGAGAAGAGCAGTGAGGTCAATTCCACCAAAATGCAAGTATCCTCTGGAACAAACACCTGTAAAACGGGTGGTTTTTGCTGAAAGAAATCGGATGACATACAATGCAATACAAGGTGAATTTCACCGAATAAAACCAATAAATCACGTCATGATCACCATTATTTTTATATCAGTGTTAAAAGTATTGGAATACATTAATTGCACCACATATAATCTTGCTGATTACGAAGTGATACCAAACTGGTTCCAATGAGGTCTCCATTTATTTCTTCTCTATGATCTTCATAGATACCCTTAGAGCTGGAGGCCACAATTTACATGTACTTCTCGCAAATCGTATGACAGACTTACCTTCAAAAGGAAAAAATCCCAGACCAGTGGATGATGTCGCCCACGGTCATCCTGCCGAAGAAGGGAGATCCAAGGGATTTTCGTAACAATCGTCCCATATGCTTGTTAAGTGCACTCTACAAGCTATTCACGAAGATTATCTTCTCACGCATATCAAGGACATTGGATGAGGCGCAACCACTCGAGCAAGCAGGTTTTCGAAAAGGATTTCGCTGCATGGACCACAACCAAACCGTGTCCAGCGTCATCGAAGTTTATCAGGGATACTACTTGCCTCTAGTACCAACCTTTGTCGACTATGAGAAAGCGTTTGATAGTGTCGAGACCAACTCAATCCTAACAGCGCTCGTAGATTAAGGAGTGGACTCGTCCTACATAAGGACTTTGTCCGACTGTTATCGAAACTGCACTACGAAAATGCAGCTTTTCCATCGACCTCTTACAATATACATAGGAAAAGGGGTTCGACAGGGCGACACAATATCGCCAAAGCTGTTCAGCGCCGCACTACAGTGGATAATGAAGTCACTCGATTGGGATGAGAAAGGCATACGTATTGATGGAAAATCCCTATCAAACCTTCGTTTTACCGAAGACATTGTCATCTTCTCAAGAAGTACTAGCGAAGCAGAGGTGATGGCCAACGAGCTCAACGAAGCGGGGAAAAGGATCGGACTTCGCATAAATCGAAAGAAGACCCAGTTCATGAAAAACCCATGGTGCGAAGGCGAAAAAATTGAATTGGATGGCTCTCTTATTGCAGAGTCCACCTCGTACGTTTACCTTGGGCGATCAATGAACATGGAAAACAACATGAACGAGGAACTAGATAGAAGAAGGAGAGCAGTTTGGGCAGCATTCGGGCTTCTCAAAGAAGCCACCGACCAACTGAAGGACCCGAAAATCCGCGCTCATCTCTTCGATTCTACGGTTCTTCCAGCGCCTGAGCGATGTCTTCTGAAATATAACCGGCACTCTCAATATGTAGCTGGAATCCGAAGCTCTAACCTTCGAAATCTGTCACATCTTCGAGATCGAGGAGAATATACATCGACAGCGAAACGTAGATGGGCCGGTCACATAATGAGAAGAGCCGACGACAGATGGACGAAAAGAACAGTAGAGTGGACTCCAAGAGAATGCAAACGTCTCCTTGGACGACCACCTACACGTTGGGCAGACGTGTTCGTTAACAGAATTAATCAGCTGTACTCAGTTGTTTTACAAATCACGGTACGAGACTCGCAAGCGCTACCATGCTCAAACAACACCACCATGGACTACGATTGCGAGAGAAAGGAATGAATGGCATATGTGCTGGGGTCCGCTCATCTGGTGAAGACGGACCGTCGAAGTATCCAAGTAAGTAAGTAAGATCTTCATAGTTATCCTTCGCTTGTCATTAAGACGCATCAAATGTTCGTTTCATCCACTAACTTATCATAAATTGCTTTGCATGTCTCTCAGCTAGTTCTATCGATCTTTTTGCCATCAGCAATCACCCGTCAACGGGATTGATCTGGGGAGCCAATATCGGCATTGAACCCAATTAAGCTGAGGCTTAGTTATAATCACAATCTTAACTCGTTTATTTACTGCCTTTTTCTTCTTAATGGCAGGGTATGTGAGCTGCTCCCCGGTAAGGACAACAGCGCGTTTTCGTTCCCCACTGCATACACCTATGGTCCGGAGTTTTGCAAATATCTCAGCATTTCATACGAGTTATAATTCGAAACATTCCCTGCCATTAAGAAGAAAAAGGCAGTAAATAAAAGAGTTAAGATTGTAACTTATTGTAGTTTTCAATAATCTTCCCTACGGTGGCGTTTTCGACTGCTCATTCTCGATCTAGATCGAAACATCGGATTTGTTCTCTCATTTGAGTGATACGGAGTACTCCATGCATCGCTGTTTCCAGCATGTTGCCACTGTTCTCTTCACAACATTCTCGATGCTCTTGTGCGCTGCTCAAGTATTTCCTTTCATCGTCCTCAGCTCAGAAACCATTTACCACATTGACTTCCAGATATAAACACACAGCTTGAACATTTATAAATATTTGTTTTTATTTCTTGAGATTTGATCAAAGACCAATCCCTCAACAATTTATCAAAATAGGCTAGTAATAGTATATTTGCAAGCTTGCAATAGGCTTGCCACCAGGATTACGGAGATTTTCGACAATTCGGCGGCTTTGATGATCTTCTTAAGAGGCTGAACCTCCGCTTTATATCTCATTTCAAAACCAGGATCACCTTCCGGCCATCTTGCAAACCACTGGATGGAGGCGTCTTTTCTAAGAACGTAAAAATCATTCATAAGATGTAGCAACGCCACAGATTTTCCTCATCCAATGATAAAATTATCAACAGTGTTAAGAGACGTGGGATCCAACATGACATTATCTTCTCGCCATAAATATTCAGTACTGATGTACTCTCAGAAACATTACTCGATAATGAAAATAGTAAAGGGGTCAGAGTTAGTGACGCGATTTGCTCAACTCCCTTCTCCTGATTCGTTTTAACCTCTGACACAGCTAAGCGGAGTGTATGCTCGTAGATTTCAGCAACATTCCTGGAAAGGTTGCCCTTTCAATGAATCTGAAGAAGACGACAAACATGACAAACGATTTGTTCCTAATGTTCATTCAACGAAACGAATATTTCCAAATACCATAGCAACGCGTGTATTGGTTGGAATGACATTATGATGAATGATTTAAATGCGGAGCAAAACAGGATGAAACGAGTGATTTGGAGAGATTAGAAGAACAATGAGGATATGGTGCTAGAAAGAGTATTCGGTATGTAGCTTCCTCCTCGTCTTTACAGTTCTTCTTCTCGAACATATGGCGTGGAAGCTTGAACCTTACGTGGGCGGAATAAAAGTGTAGTCAGCATGCGGAAGGAGGTCGATCAGCCGATAAGCTTTATGGCGCGCCACGCGAGCAAGAAACACTGATCGATGATCAGACTTGTTCACGATGACCTCTTAAGGAAAACAATATGGTGCCTCCGTCATTTTGGAGGATTAACTGCTAACAGGTGATCCAAGATTTTTCGATAAGTGCACACCAGTTACAATACCGCATTACCGCGTTGCATTGCTCTGGCCGCTTCAGAAAAGGGTGAGACAAAAAATCTCAAAAAAAACTGCCGCTACTGAAGAAATTTTACTATTCAACTTCGATAGTAAAACTTTAGTTAAAAAGTTGTAAAAAGATTCATACACG